TCTTTCTCAATACATTCCTTTTGTTAGGACCATCTGTAGTGCTCTTAAGTCAGGCGTGCACCTACTGAGAGCACTTGAACTCTCCAGTTTGATGCTGGCATGCTTCTTTGGTGGAGATGTAACATCATCTAAGGACGCATTCAGTGTCTCTGCAACTTTACAGCATGCAAACATTTGATTTCACCATGTAAAAGTTTATAGAAGTGTCTGCTATTTACTTTTAATTTAAGAGAAATGTAGTTAAAGAATATAGCTTCCATATGCTTCTGTGTGCCGTATGCTAAGATGAGGGTATTCAAACATACTCTTGTGGATGTAAATATAAAACCAGAAGACAGACTCTGTTATATTGAATATCCCGTTAGCAGTCCTTGTTGGGTATCCTGATAGGATGGCATACCAGCAGAAAGAGAAGTTTCCTCCCCAGGCTGTGCATTTAACACTTGACTTATGCCTTGAAGCAAAGTGGTTGCATCTGCAGCTATTTTCATCGATCATATTAATCACTAACTTTTCTTGGCACCTTAACAGGTGTGTCCACACTCTCTGTTAAACAGTTCCAGCCCTTCCCTGAAAAAAAGGTATTTTCTTTTAGCATTTTAAACCTGAATACCTTTCAGTTTAGTTAACGATCTTGTTTATATTATTACAAGAGAAGGTGTACTTTTTTCTTTTTTGTGCCAGCTGTTGTTTTATATCAACAGAACTGCATTAAATTGTCATCCTGCAGTTTGGCCCCTAGTGTTTAATTCCAGTTTGGTGGCATAGACTGGTGGTAATAAGAAATAATAGCAGGAGTTCAAAAGGAAATCCTGCATTTCCCCTCTTTGTGGGAATCAATATTATAATTTGAAACCCTTTATCTGGCAGTGTCCTGTTATTAGTTCTTTCTATTCATATGTTTGTGTCCATTTTAAATGCTGCAGAGACAGTAGAAATCACACATTATGTCTAGGAGGGATTTATCATTAATATGTGATCTTTTTCACAGTGCATAGGGCTGCAAATGGACTGCATTTGCCCTCCGGTGGTATCCTGCTTAAAAAAGCCACCGATGAGATGTTGACATAGTAGAAATAGCTTTGTGGTATGAGTTTATTTAAAACCATTGTGACAGAACTGAGAATTACAGGGAAATATTTTTTATGCAACATAAACCACATATGAACCAAACCAATCAGTAGTTTGAAACCACTGAGGATAAATAATTTTACTAACTTTCCTGAAGGTCCACTGAAAACAAATTTGTCTTATTTTACTTCCAGAAGTGGCTTGTATTTGAAAATATTTTTCTCTTAAAGGTTAAAGCTAACTTAACTGGGAAATAAGTTTGCAACAGGCAGAAATGAGGTGACTGGTTCCTGAACAATCCACTAGAGTGGATCCGTCAGCTCTGCTGCTTCCTGTCTGGCCCTTCTCAATCCATTAAAATGCCCTAATGGGCTTTTGTTTTATTACTGAATTTATTTTAGCAGTTTGTGCTGCGCACCTCAAGCATATTTGTAAGCATGTGGCAGAAATCCTGCCATTTCTTATGACTGACATGCTGTAAAGATCAGGCCCATTACGCTCAGGCTTTTGAAGGGAACTCAAACTGAAGAATCCATACATTGGCATTGTTTTTGAAGAAACTTGCAGACTCTTCAGTGGAAATGAATTGCCTCCTAATGTGACTGAAATGCACTGTGCTGCTTAGGCCAATCTTAAGGAGGTGTGCGTTTTTGGTGCGTAAGGGTACCAGATGTTCATGGCTGGCGTTTTATTTTGGGCATGTAAAAGTGATGAAACTGCCAGTTGGGTCACCAAAGAGGGGCTCATGGGGGCCCACCAGCTTGTAACAACACTGCTGGCATTGGTAAGTGCGGAAGTCCAGGAGAGTGGGAAGCAAGTGGAATGTTTGCTCTTTAGGTAGTATTTTAAGCATCAAAAAAAGCTTTTTGGATTCCTTGCTCTTTGGCCACTGCCTTCTTTCCTTACTGACACTGAGGCTTTGTTGCTCTGTTGGGAATGTCCAGACTGAGTTACCAGGATCTGCACTTAAAAAATTCCTAAAGTAGAGAATTAATTCTGTATTTTCAACCAACTGCCTGTCCCTAATCACCTCACAGGAGATCCTCTTCCTTTCCTCCTTTAGGTCTTGTGTCTTTTACTAGACTATCCATTATATTTTATTATTTTTAACTCCTCCTTTTCTCCATGCTTATACATGTATAATAGGATATATTATTTGTTGTTTTAATTTAACTTTCCTCTACCCATGTTTACTATTGCCACTAATTTCTTCGAGCTCCATGATCTCTGTCAAATATTTGCCCTGATTTCATATATCCTCGTATATCCATCGCTTTTAGCATCTTGATAGGCTCAGTGAACTCAGTGAATTATTTGTATGCTTAAAATTAAGGACGTTTATGCAGAAGATGGGGCCATTAGATAATAACTCATTGCAGCATGAAACGTCTGGCTTAACATCGATATTTAGAAGTTCCCTCGCTTGTGTTGCCATTAATAAATGTCTGGAATGAATTGTGGTCTTCCGTCAGATAGTAGTAAACATTACAACATGATGGTTTATTATGCAATTGCAAATATCACTTCGTGGGGCTGGCAGTGCAGGATATTGTTCGCTTCCCTGCAGACGCTAGTGGTTGTAGCGATGCTGAGGAGGTGGTTTGCATACACTTGGCCATACTTCACGTGGACACGTTTGTGTTGCCAAACCCTTGGTGTCCTTGCTGAAGGTAATGAGGCTACGCAGACCTTGGGCATCAGAGTCTATTACTTGTTTAACCTTCCCAAAGAGGGCAATTACCCCGCTTTCCCGTACAGAGTGGTGACCTCTGTCCTTGCGCTCTCGTAATTGAGAAGGGGAATGTCTCCGAGTTTCTGACTGCTGGAGCTGAGATAGGAAGGGTCACAAGGATTGAAAGTGAAGGGCAAGGATCAGCAATTTAGAGGTAGTTATTAATATGCTGATTTACTGTCACTTGAGTCTAGAGACTTTTAACAATTGCTTGCCTTTTGCATGCTCTTCAAAATGCTGATTTTTTTCCTTAGAAATCTAATTACATTTTCATAAGATATTTTTTTATTTTCAGGTGCTTGACAACCCATCCCTTGCTCCCATACAGTACTGTATTTAAAAAGCAAAAATAATGTGTATTCATTGCAAAGTTACACTCCAGTAAATCCTTTAACTGTAAGAAAGCAGAGAGTTATTTTCCCCTTTTTCTTCATGCACGCCTAGTTACATTAAGTGCTGGCAACAAGGAAAATATATGCAGCCTCAAAAACCTAAATTATTTAGGAATCTCCATAAAACAATATCATAGGTTGTTAAAGTTAAATAATGAAATCTGGATTAAAACATTTCATCTTCTGTAGCTTTATGGTACAGTGTGTGGACTTCCCTGAAATCAGAGCCTGACATGACTAAACTCTTGGGGCCAAATTCAATTCCTAACTCTGTTCCTGACTTTATTACCTTAATCAAGTCATGACCTATCTTTACTTTGGTTAGCCTACAATGTAGGATATAAATAGCCTATAATCTTGGAGATTTTGTAAGAATTAATTATTATTAATGAAATGAAAGACTCCATAATGTGCAGGCTATTTTTATTTATTATAATTACTTATTATTAATTCACTGAAACTTTAGCAAGTTTTATTATGGGCTTCCTGTGACTCAGATTTATACATTAATACTTTTGTCCCCCATCATGCCTATACAGTGCCATTATCCACCCTGAAAAATTAATAATTACAGTCCAGAAAAGGACAGAGGTGTTGAAGGAAAAGGGCATTGACCTAAAATAAAACTGGGGGGAAATCCGTGCATCTAAGTCCTGTGCTGTGCTCTTGCAAACCCCCGTTTGACTCTCTCCCGGCCCCAAAGGCATCTACATTCCAATTCAGAGAGCTCAGCCCCAGCCTGGCCCCGTGCCTGTTGTTTCCTGTTGCCATGGCCCAGTCTTAGAGACCTGGTAAAGCTTTGGGCAGGGAACCACAGAAATGCATCGCAGTGGAATGTGAGCTGCAGCCTTGGCCGTGCTGTGTGTGAAGGCGAAGCTCAGTCTGCGCGCGAAGGCACTTCAGGTCGGCTGGAGCTCGGCAGAGTGACGCTGTCCTCAGCCGAGACCTGCAGAGCAGTTGGGTTTTGTGTTTTTTCTGTTAGTGGATCCATTCAGTAATGTTCTTATAGCAAGCTACTGTGCACCGTAAAAGCAGGCTTCCAGTAAAATGAAGTGGCTGCGGCCCCTTTCTGTCATGGCTGCAGGCTGAATACTCGTGCTCTTCCTCCTAAACATCTCCATTTGTGCAAGGGAATCAGAGGTTCAGATGGACAGAGAGTGGGAGAGCACAAGGGGTAGCACAGTATTTAGGGAACTCAGTTTGGAGCAGGGAGACTTGGTGTTGACACCTTGCTGCAAGAAACATTTAGCTGTAGCTTCTGCTGCTCAGACAGGGCAGAGGTTGCCACTATCTATGCGAAAGTTGATCCCTTCATCTGAAACATGGAAAAGATGGCAGTTTTGGAGAAGGAAGCTTTCTTTTTATCTTTTAATTTTTCTTTTTCCACTTTGAAGCCATTTCAATTCCATGGGTAGTGTGTGCATCACAGCTTGGGAGTCCTGGCCTCTACCAAATATCTTTTATGGCACATAGCTGCAGCGTTATATCTTTTCTTGTTTGGTTGTACAATGTATCATTGGTTAAACTGTTGCCCCAACCCTTAAAATGACTGCCTCCTTGAGAATGTTGAATTTATATCATCATTTAGATAACACACTGCTCAAATAAGAATGTGTCTTTATGGTTTTGTGAAGCTTCTAGCACATCTTTGAGTGACGTGAGAATAATGACCTACAAATAAATCAGCTTTATCCTATTAACCCACGAGAGTGAATCTCACATAAAACACAAGTACAGGCTGCATAGAGTATAATACAATATATATATATAAAACATAAAGATTTCTGTGCCTCTCTACTTTTCAGCTGTTACATGCTTGTCGGAGTACGATGACTCTGCCGATGTTGGTGACTGCATGCGGTGGGCAGGAGCTATGCCGACTCTTGTACAGGAGTGTCTCGTTCCCTGCAAAGATGACTGCACATTTACCCCCTGGTCTAAATTTACAGCATGTTCGTTTGACTGTGAATCAACCAGAAGTAGGAGACGATCACTCACAGGTATAACCTTTCATAATATTTATCTGACAGTGATACTTGTGAATAATGCTTCTCAGATGTTGGTGGGCTGATGTTGGGAAAATCCAGACAGAATAGTGATCATTCTTAACTGATTTTGCTTTGATACTGATCATTGCCTGCTTAATGACATGCATTTCAGTATGAGAATCGTGCAGAAAAACTCAGTAGTGGAAAGCCATTTTTAGAGAAAAACCAAATAAAACAGTGACGATGCATTGTGCAAGTTTATCTGACCTATTAATCTGGGAAGCATGCAGCAAATATGTATAAAGAATAAAAATCAGTGTGATTTTCTGTGTAAGAGTGTTCAATCTGCATGAAGTTTAAAGCTGGGAGTTTTGTGCTTAGCAGAATCCAATAATTCAACAGGGCAAATTAATACCATGAATAAAGAAAAAACAATATCGTTAAAACAGTTTTGTTTGATCTTTTATATATATATTCATTAAACACTCTAGTTCAAACCATTTCACGGAACAGTCTCCCATACTTGCTGTTGTGGTTTGTTATTGTGTTATTTGAATGCTGACTGAACTGAAAAGATTTAAAACCCTATAACTTTAATAGTTTGGAGCTGTTTTTTTGTTAGGAGTTGTCTTCCTCCCCCCCCCCCCCCCCCATAGCTAAATCAAATCAGAATGAATTATACTGTTTTCAGAAGATTTACAAGAAATTTACTGTTATTGTTATCCCTAACACTCACATCTTTTTGTATTTCTGTGTTGTGTTTGAGAGCTATGGTATAGCTGGTTTGAGTTTGCTCCATTAATAGAGGTGAAGCTTCAAAGACTTCTACTATGGAGTAAAATACTAACATTGCTGTAAAAATATCTACTGTGTTAATGCCTGGGAACTGAATGGCAGCAAAGTATGGTGGCTGCCACTGCTTCTTTCTTCTAGACTCACTTGTACGGCTATCTTGTTGTTCAGCTTGTTACCGCTGGAGTGAACCATATTTTTACTAACTAATGGTTACAGTATATGGCCATAATGGCTTCAAGCTGCCTTTTGTCAGTATGGCTCATTAAAGGATAAAGATTTCTCTTTTACATGAAAATAATTATTATACAGTGCTCTATTTTTTCTGCCAAAGAACGTATTCTAAAAAGTTCTCTATATCAATGCATGTGTTTATAGTAGAAGAAATCCTTCATCCCTATCAGAATAATGGGTGCCTGCTCTTACGGAAAATATGTAAGAATTAAGTGAATACTTACTTCCAGGTCATTTTAAATCTGAATTTTCTTTATGAACATCTGTGACAGCTACAAAAGAGTGTGGTCCTACCTATCCCCTTTTTTTTTTTTCCCGTTATACATCAGACATAGATCCCTTCAAGTAAGCGGGCCAAAAATGGCTTCTGACACTCAGGTTTTGATGGCTTGTCTCCTCACCCACACCGTGGTTGTCACCAAACACCATCTGGCCCTCCCAGGAGACCTTGCTGAGTTCCCTCCCTGCTGGGAAGGAGCTCATGGTCTCAGCCTGCTCCCAGAAAAGGTGTCCTAAAAAGCAAGTGGTGAATGTGCAGCGGGTGGTGCTGGGGTGGGGACAGCACAGCGCTGCAGAGAGCAGCGAGGAAGGACCAAATCAGACATCGGTTTTGGTTTTACCACAGTGTAAAAGGGGAAGTCGATGAGATTAGTGTTTGACCTGTCTTTGCATAAAGCTTCATGAAAACTGGAGCCGGCCAAAAGTCTTGAAAAAATTTCATCCATGTGAATTCAATCCAGAGCTTTAAGGAAAGTGCTGCTTGGGGAGTCCTGCATGCTGTTAAGACTCCTTTATCCATTTGTATTTCACTCTTCTGTAAGAATGCATGAGTTGTACCTTCTTGTTCAACACAGTGTGTGTCTGTGCTCAAGTGAATGCTTTGGCTTCATTATAAGAGTTCATTAACAATGTCATTTAGTGGGAATCTGCTAATTGTTTGCTAAGTATTTGCTTGCCTCCTACTCAGTTTCTAATAGTATTACTCATTGCACTTTGTAAGTAATCATAGACTCTACATATGAAATTAGTCATTACTTAAGAAGCAAAAGACGTATTACAGAACATATCAAAATTCAAAGTCATCATAATGAAAACAGAGTTTTTAGATAAGTCTTAATTAATACAGTCAGTTAATTCACAGCACTATGGATACAATGCATTTTCTGTAGGAAGGTATATTTTTAATGTTTTTTACAATTTTTATGTACAGTGTGTACTACCTGATAATATTGAATGTATAGAATATTTGTTAGTGTTCAGAAATTTATTTTTAAAAAGAAATTACTATTTAATCAAAGCATTCATGTCCTTGAAAATCTTGGCAGTGGTATTTTTAATAGTAATTGCTAAAGCAGTCTGTGAAGATGATAAAAGTCCACCATCACTAATTCCAAAACTACTTCTTTGTGAAAAGTATGGAATGAATGTCACTTTTGCCCTCAAAATAGAGATTTCATAGCAACTTCACTAGAGGGAAGATTCCTACAAAACAGATGGCAGGGCAAGCTGGAAAAAAAGTGTTGTATAAGTGTGAGATTAGTAACAACCTCAACCTTACCTGTATCTGATGTGCTTCATGTAATAATGGCAAAACATGGGCAACTCCCAAATTCCCATGTTTGCTAATAGAATGCAGAACATACACTGAGTTTGTGGCTTCTAGCCACAAACTAGAGAATAGAGAAATGCTGCTAGAGAGCTCTCAATCTATTTAAAGCCTTTTAAAAGACTTCCCTTGAAGTATGCGAAGTTGTCTTTCTTATACCTTACCCAAATTTGCTCATAAATGCATATATATACATAAAAAAATAAAGTGTATATATAGAGAGATATACACAAAAATATAAAGATGCCAGCACTATTTCATTTCTTTGTGTTTATTATCCCTTTGTGCTGGCAAACTTTACATTCCCCTGAACTCTGAAAATACAATTTTGAAGATCTGGAGCTTGAAGGACAATGATATTAAGGGTCTGCAATCAGTGCCCTTTTCTTTGGAGGTACATGTTTTTATGCAAACAGCTATTGACAACAGCCAGCTTGTGCTCCTACAATGCGTGGTAAAATGATTCTTGGTTCCAGACTAGAAAGAGGGTTGTTGGATTATATAACTTATTTTTGGGTTTTAATATCTTGTGTGCAATACCAAAGAGAAAAAGTTTCTTTTGGGATCAAAGCTTTAAAAACTTTTTGCAGAAGTATTTTTAATGCATCCAAGATCCCCAAGGAACATTTTGAGGATGGGCTACTGATGCAGTTTGTTAGTGAAAATGAAATTCCCCCTTCTGTGCAGATGCCAAATGCGAAGATGTTCCTGAGCTCAGCCAGCACAAAGATTGCGCCATGTCACATTGGCTAACCCATGCCAAGCAAAGCATTGATTTTATCTTTAGAGGCTGTATACAGACCTTTGTTCCCTTGAGCAGTTGTAGGCATACAGGGAGCATGAATTCTCTTTACGTTATCTCTTCTTGTACTGGGGACCTCTTCTCATGCCTAGAAGTCCTCCAGGAACAGGGCACGGAGAGTGCATTTGCACAGAGCTGTTCCACAGGTTTATTTGAATGCTGCTGCTTCCTGAAGCTGTGGAAAGAGCCTTATTTTAAAACCTGTTGAAGGAATAGAGCAAAAGAAAATGTTAAACTTTATGTAACCATTGAAATACTTTGCAGCCCTAATAATTTACTGAGGATTGTCTTTTCCATTTTCTTCAAAGTATGGTTTGTGTGCCAAGTGCATTTTTAACTAATTTGTAAAGTAGCCTCAAAGAAGTAGTTGTGGCTAATGTAGAGTCCTCTGGAAGTTGTCCTGGCAACCATTGATTGCGAGCAAATAGAGACAAAACAATCAATGTATTTTCATCCGATAATTAGAGAAAGATGATATTATATAAAATTACAAAGCATTTTCTGGGCAGCCTGTTCCTTGAGTAAGACTTTGTATTTTGCTCCTTGCCCTGCCCATCAAAACAAGATTTCCAAGTTCTCTGGTTGCCCCTGGAGATAAATACGTTGTCCTTGCACTCCAGAGCACTGGCAACAGCTAATAGATGATTCGGAAGCGTTCCTGGGTATTAACATTCAGATTGTCTTGGTTCTAATGTGTTGAATTCATGCAAGTATAAATAATATGACGTGTTGTTATCAAAAGTAGCAGATGTTAAGCTAACGAACAGATTTCTGTGGTTGGAACAGGGCGAAGCAGAAAGCGAGACAAATGCCAGAATACAGAAGTTTATCCTCAAGTTGAAACAGAGCCGTGCCCCTGTGAGGTGTTTACCTCCCAGCCCCATGGAAATTGGTCGGACTGCATTATCGGAGGAGGTACATCTAAGCTGCAGTTGGGAATGAGATCCCAAGGAGATGCCAAGGATTGTGGTGAGGGTGTCCGACTGCGAGCTATTGCCTGTTACGATAAGACCGGCAGACTCGTGGAACCATCTCGCTGTAGCAGTTCGGGTAAGGAGATTTAAAAAAGCGCACAACACGTGTAAATAACCATGGTGCTGAGCACAGTTGTCCACTCAGAGGATCATTTTGGAGCCTGTCATAGGTGTATGCCTGTTTACTTGGTGGGTTGAACAGCTTTCACAAGGTTGCCATGAGTGTTGTACAACGTTCTTCTAATATCTTTGTATCACTCTCAAGACTGAGGTTTTCCTCAGTATAAGGATCTTCTGACATTCCTACAATGGAAATGGAGTAGAAGAGGGCTAAAGTTGGCTATGCTGTCAGAATGCCAGGTGGATTTCTTTTATTTGTATTAAAACCTCATGAAACTGTAAGCTTAGGAGAAGGAGAAGCTGTATTTCTATTAACATTTTCTTTGGAGATATCTCCGACTTCAGCTTTTACCTGTTTATAAATTTTTATTCCTTTTCACTAAATTTGGAGATTCGTATGCTTTTCAATGAAGGAATTGGGAATTTTCTTGAGACAATCATATTTAATTACAAAAACCCTGTGATGTCACCTGCTGTAGCTCACGCCAAGTGCACATAGCCAGTGATCTCATTCCTTGCAGTTTTGTGCCAGTCTCAAGCTCAAACTGATAGATGTATATTCCAGTGTCACTGCTTGCTGGGGCACTGGGCTGTGGTTCTGTCCACTATATTTCACATATAATCAAGTAGCTTATATCAAACAGAGGTAGGGCAGAATTAGAAGCAGAGCAAGGAGGAAATGTCATTCCATCTGGATATTTTCTCCCAGTTTCTATGATTTGCAGTTCATCACAATCATTATGCTTGATCAATTTACAGACAGAAGCCCTTATCTTAGGGGCAAATTCTGTACCTATGCTGCTCCCAAAACACTAATGCTCTCTGACTTCCAGTCAAGAAACTTAGGACACCACAAAACGTGCTGTAGTAGGTCAGAAGACTGATGGTGAGATATGTGACGGGAGAGGGAGAAATGATGTTTTAGGAAGACATAATTAATACAGTGGGAACCATTAATGTTCCTGAGTATATAAGGGAGCAGAGAAAGAAGTGGCGTTGCTCTGTGGAGGGTCTTCAGGATGAGGATCAGTAAGCCTGAGCCACATGTAATAAAAGGAAAAAAAAACACCCTAATGAAGTGATTGAGTCCTGGAGTGAATTCCTCTCGCAGCTGTTGATGGCTGTTCCAGCTGGCTGCACGGATTCATAAAGCAGATTTCCGTGGTTTGTGTTTCAACAATGTGCTGTTGTACCAATTGATTATGCCTCTGTGGCCCATGAAGGAGGAATGCTATACCTTTCCCCCACAACACTACCTTTTCTTCTGCAAAAAGGGAGCTGTTGGGTTTTGAAAGGTGGGTTTGCCTGTGCCATCATTTGCTCTTTTGAAAAACTCAGGGTTTTTATCACTATTAAAAAGAGGAGGTTGTCTATGCATGGAGCTTTTCTGAATAACCTTGAAGCCTGTTTTCTGTCAGTGATATTTATGTGGCAATTTAATGGTCCAGCTTCTGTTAGGGAGGTAATAGAGAGTGGTACCTCAAGGGGATTATTGTTGGCTTTCTTGTCTTCAGCTTTTTATCTGAGTAGAAATGATTGAAACACGGCCTTGACATAGGACCCATGTCAGAGGCCAGAGGGGTGGCCAGTACTGTACAGCAGAGCCCTATCATGTCCTCTTCCTCCTGCACTCCATTTACAGAGTGATCTTAAGACCTTTAGGTTTGGAAGTAGGAAGTAAAAGAGGGGTGAGATGTTTCCACCTTCTGGATGCCCCATAAGAGATGCCGTAAAGGTGAACTATTAATTGCCATCCAGACCCCTGTTCAATACTCAGGATGTATAAGCTCCTAATTGCTACCCAGTGTTGTACACCTCCAGAGGACATGGATATTTTGGTGGCTTTGGGTATAGAGTGCCCCAAAACAGTCAGAAAGCTCCACAGGCTTCACTTCCTTCACTTGGGATCTGTCTTCCAACCAGAGCAGTTAAGTGAATATAAGTGTACTGGGTTTGCACGGCCAGGTTTTGTTAGCGGGGGCTACAGAGGTGGCTTCTGTGAGAAGCTGCCAGCAGCTTCCCCCGTGCCCGATGGAGCCAACGCCAGCCGGCTCCGAGACGGACCCGCCGCTGGCCAAGGCCGAGCCCAGCAGCGACGGTGGCAGCACCTCTGGGATCGTGTATTTAAGAAGGGGGAAAAGAAAACTCTGCAGCTGGAGAGAGGAGTGAGAATATGTGAGAGCAACAAGCGTGCAGACACCGAGGTCGGGAAGCAGGAGGGGCAGGAGGGGCTGCAGGGGCCGGAGCAGAGATTCCCCTGCAGCCCGTGGGGCAGCCCATGGCGAGGCAGGCTGTGCCCTGCACCCAGGGAGGTCCAGGGGGGAGCAGATGCCCACCTGCAGCCCGGGGAGGACCCCACGCCAGAGCAGGGGGATGTGCCCAAAGGAGGCCGGGACCCCGTGGGAAGCCCAGGCTGGAGCAGGCTCCTGGCAGGACCTGCGGCCCCGTGGAGAGAGGAGCCCACGCTGGAGCAGGTTTTCTGGCAGGAGCTGTGACCCCGTGGGGGACCCACGCTGGAGCAGTCTGCTCCTGGAGGGTGCACCCCGTGGGAGGGACCCACGCTGGAGCAGTTCTGAAGAGCTGCACCCCCATTCCCTGTCCTCTTCTGCTGCTGGTGGGGAGGAGGGAGAGAATTTGAGCCCAGGAGGAAGGGAGGGTTGGGGGGAAGGTGTTTTTTTTAAGATTTGGTTTTATTTCTCAATATTCTGCTCTGACTTGATTGGTAATAAGTTAAACTAATTTCCCCAAGTCGAGCCTGTTTTGCCCATGACAGTAACTGGTGAGTGATCTCCCTGTCCTTACCTTGACTCACAAGACTTTAGTTATAATTCCTCTCCCCTGTCCAGCTGAGGAGGGGAGTAACTGAGCGGCTTTGGTAGGCACCTGGCATCCAGCTGGGGTCAACCCACCACAATAAGCCTGATATTTACGGTCTCTAGAGCTGGGAGCTTTCATAATGCACTTCTGAACACATTATTGAATTAGTGATGGAAACAAATCATTATCCAATTAATAATTAGCAGAATGTTACTCAACCATAATAGAGAAGAGCAAATTACAGAAGCATGGAGAATTGCTAAACCCTGAGAAATTATTCATGACAGGTTTTTATTAAGCAGCTCCATTTGTCTTGTTCACAATTAGTATCAGGTGACCTTTTAACATTTGCTAGCTGACCATATTTATGGCTAATTAAGCCATCGCCTTATATATTGAATGCCAGTCACTGTGATATCTAGGCATTGTTCTTGCTTTATGAGATGTGGGGGGTAAACATGTTCCTTTTATTTCTTTCAGGTCTCCTGACTACTCTCTGTTTCCTGCTCTTTTCCTTTTGCAGGACAGTGCTTTTCCTTCCTTTCCCTTGAACTAGGACAGAAGTCAGAAGTTTTAAGACTTAGACCTCAGTTCTTTGCTGGGTCCTTTTGAAGAACTTTTACAAAATGTAGAAAGACAGTTGTAAGGATGCAAACTTTACCTTAGAAGTAGATTTAAGTTTGTCCCAGACTTGATAATGCCATAAGTAGAAGGTGTAGGACAATAAAAATGGTATGAAACAGAATAGGTCAGGTTGTAGCTTTTCTAGAGAGCAAACTCTGGGCTCTTGCCTTCTCGCAGCAATGATTTTCACTTTCCTTGACTGAAACTTGGCTGTTGAATTTACCTCTGCAGTAGGGCTTAGTTCACTTGTGCCAATGTGACTTATGTGACTGTGTCATAGTTATCAAGTGAATATGCTGTGAGTTTGAGTCTAATGTAGAAATTAATCACTACTCAGGAGGGGTTCAGGGTCTGAGGCCTTGATCTTACACTGTGTATTGTGAGAAATTCTGTATTTGCAGCTTGGGGGAAAAAAATACAAACCAAAAAACCATTGAACCCTATTCATCTACGTTTGTCAGCAGTCTAGACTCCAACTCTTCTAAGACTGTTATCTGCAAATATATTAACCCTATAAGCATACCTTCTGAACAGGAAATGGATTTTCTCCCCATTGGTGTAGTTACTGCACGCAGAGTATCCCAAGGTCCAAAACCAGGGAAGACAAAAGCATTCCAGCTGTGCCTTAATGGAAATGCACTACTGGCTTGCCTGCTGTCTACAGTTTCTTTTGTCAGGACCCGAGATCTGGGCTGGAGGGACCTCTGCCCTAACCCAGCACAGCTGAGCACAGCTTGTGTGAATACATTGGGTCAGCTGCAGTGGGTAAGCTTGACTGATTTACCAATCCTCATTGCAGTTTAATCTTAGGTTAACTCATGATCATTAGATATGAGAAGCTTAAAAATTCAAATCCCAGACTTCTCTGAATTTTATTCCTTTCTATACCAAACCTTTTCTCTGATGTCCAGAAAAAGCACACTGTAGCTTTTTTTTCATGACTGGCTTTTGTGATTAGTCTACTGCTTTATTTTGGTAGTGTCATCATTTTCCTCGATCGCACATTTAGTAAGATCAAGAAATGAGTGACTTGCAGTTTCCAAATTGAGCTAATTCTTTTTTCCTAGATTTGGTTCACTCTTCTTTTCCTTCCTTTAATTTGGAAATGCACTAATGAAATTACGGATAGAGGTAACTATCTCTACTACATTACAAAAATGTAATTAATAATTTGCCTCAATTTGTCTTCCCATCAAAAGACTGGCTTATACTGGGTTCAGCTCAACACTAGTTCAGAGGGTCTCTGTTTTCTGACTGGTGTTTGGAGCATCCTATTTGGACATGAAATCATCCTTTTAATTGCAGTTCATCCACTTCTCAATCTGTCATCTGAGTTCCTTGTTCTATTTCTGAATTTCCACCTCCTTTGTTTTGAATTATTTCATGTAGTTCCTTTGCTTCTCTTTTTTGTGTGCTGTGCCAACAGGTTTTTTTTAATCTTAGAGAAACATGGGGTGCCTCATCTGTTCCAAATCAAAGGCTGGAGATTTTTGTGCTCTTGCACAGAGGTTTTGC